TATTATATTATATTATATTATATTATATTATATTATATCATATCATATCATATCATATTATGCACCTACTGTGTTCCTGGCCTTATACATACCCATGAGAGACACAAAAATAGAAAGGCTATAAGACAGTAGATCCTACTGTCCAGAAACTTGCCTTTCTAATAAGGGGAAGATGGGGGAGGGAAAGGTGTACAAGAGTACAAATAACTTACAGGGAAGGAAATGAGATAAGTCCAAGAAAAAGTCCAGGAAAATTCTGAGAAATATGATTCTTTTCAACTGTGTGTGAGGGGAAGAAGGTGGGGGAGAGGACTAGCTGGGACAGGCTTCATGAGTGAGGTAGCACCTGAGTTGGGCCTTGAAAGAAAGGAAGGATTTTAACAACCACAGGTAGGTGGCCCATTAGTTACAGTGTTGGACTTTGGAGTCCTGAGTTCAAATCCACCTCAGATAATAGTTGTGTTACCCTGACAAGTCAGTTCATTCTGTGCCTCAGTTTCCTCATCTATAAAGTGGTATGATAATAGCATCTATCTCTCCAGGTTGTTGTGAGGATCAAATGAGATAATATTTACAAAGTGCTTTGTAAACAAAGTGCTAAATGTTGTAGCTGAGTCATTTTCAGTTGTGTCCTACTCATGACCCCATGTAGGATTTTCTTGGTAAATATTCCGAAGTAGTTGCCATTTCCTTCTCCAGCTCATTTTACAGATGAGGAACTAAAGCATACAGGGTTAAGTGATTTGCCCAGGGTTACATAGCTAATAAGTGCCCCAAGGAGATTTGAATTCAGGTCTTCCTGACTTCAGGCTGGACACTCTATCCACCGCACCACTTAGTTGCCTAAGATCTCCAGGATAACAAACTTTCCCTGCTTCCCTGAAGAAAAGGGCAGATCTAGAGAGAGCCAAACATGGCCTTCTGGGATTTGTTCAGTGAAGTTTGGTTTCGGTCAAAGGGCTGCACTTGAGGACCTAGAAGGCCACATGTGGCCTCGAGGCCACAGGTTCCCCACCTCTGGCCTAGCACATGAGTCAATGAATTTTAAAAGCATTTATGGAACACTCACTAATGGCCCAAGCACAGAGCTAAGCATTGGGGATATAAATACAAAAGTGAAAATGATCCCTGCCTTCAAGAAGCTTACATTTTAATAGGGAGAGACCACATATAGGGGAATGATGGCCTGGGGAGAAGTATTTTGGATTGGAAAGTTACCAGGATGGTGCTATAGGGGAGCAGACTAGTAGACTGATATCTTCTTTCAATCAATAATGGGAGTATTGATTTGATTGTGGTCCCAGAACTGGAGATAGGATGAAGTGGGGGTGGGGGGGTATCAGATTGAGGATTGGTGGTGAGGAGCTCCTGAGCTAAAAGGGTTAAATCTTTCCAAGTATTTCCTGGAGCAGGAGGAGAACGGGTTAGCTAGAAGTTAACATGAGAGTATAGGCACTTAATAAATGTTTCTTGTAAAGTATATGGAAAGAATAACCATGAAACAAAATATAAAACGAATGTCACAAAGTTACTGAGAACTAGAACAGCCCCAAAGACAGGATCTGAGAAGACACCCCTCCTTCCAACTCCTTTCCAGAGGTAGGATGGCCATTTCAGAGATTTTTCTTTTTGTATATATTGATCTGTTTTACTGATTTTTTTTCCTTTAAAAAATTCTTTGTTCTTTGGGATAGCTCTCTGGGACCAGGAGGGAATATGGAGAATTTAGGCAATGTAAAAAATAACTAACACTAAAATGTTAATTTAAAAATAAATAAGGGCTTGTAGCTCATCCCTAGAAAAGAGGGAAAAAAGAACACACAGCTCTCTCCCTTCTTTGCTGAGGTGGGGGACTACGGGTATGGAATGTTACATATACTGTCAGAACGGGCTGATGAATAACTTAATTTTTTCCCTGTATTTTGTTTCGTTTTGTTAAACGAGACAGTTAACTGAGTGGGGAGGAGGAAGGATCTATTCATAAATGAAGATGATGTAGAAACAAAAATATTTCAATTAAAAAAAAAATACTTGTTTTACTGGATTGAATTCTATCTCCTCTGAGTGCTAAACTCCTTGCCAGAAGTGACCCACACTTAGGACGGGCTTCCTCCCCGTTCTTTCAGGGTATTCCCTTCCTCTGTCCCCCACCCCAAACATACACACACACACACACACACACACACACACACACACACACACACACACTTAACACTGGGACAGTTCTAGGGAAGGAGACATCACTGAAGCCTAGAGGCATGTAATCAAGAGAAGGTCTTCTGGAGGTGGTGGGACCTTGAATGCTGAATGTCCTCATCCCTTCCCTCTTCCCTTGCCCCCATAGGTACACCCCTCCCAAGAAGTCAAGATGTCGAGCAAACGGGCCAAGGCTAAGACCACAAAGAAACGTCCCCAGAGGGCTACGTCCAATGTTTTTGCCATGTTTGACCAGTCTCAGATTCAGGAATTCAAGGAGGCCTTCAACATGATTGACCAAAATCGAGATGGATTCATTGACAAAGAGGATCTCCATGACATGCTGGCTTCCCTCGGTAAGGACTACTGGGGCCAATGAATGCCCAGGGCTTCTATCAGAGCAGTTGGAACCAATTCAAAGAGCTAGAAGGAAACTTAAGATGCTCCCAGGATCTCTTGACTCCAAATTTAATGCTCTTTCTACATACTGTTCTAATCTTCATGGGGTGACTATAGGCAAATCCTTTCCCCACTCTTGGCCTCAGTTTCCTCACCTACAAAGTGAAGGGGCTGGACTGGATTGATGTCATTGCCTGGGGTCTCCCTCTGTCCTCTACTGCCTAAAGCTTTCCTTAGCCATTGCTTCCTAAAGTCTGCCTGGGGAGGGAGAAGAATTTGAAAAGACTAGTTTTAAAAAGGAAATAAAGAATATTTGTAGCTCTTAGTCACTCTGCCCATCACTGAGTCTCTCCTGAGATTCTGGCTGGGCTCCACTATTGGAGGGAAGAAGAGAAATGGGAGTTTGTCCTGGGATAGGTGGTATAGTGGCTAGAACACTGGATTTAAAGTCAGGAAGACCTGGGTTCAAATTCTGCCTCTGTTACTAGCTGTGTGACCCTAGGCAAGTCCTTTAACCTCTCTGGGTCTCAGATTCCTCATCTGTAAAATAAGGGATTTGGACTTGGTGATCTCTGAGATCTCTTCCAGCTCTAAATCTATAATTTTATGATCCCTTAAGAAGCTTCTAGCTTAGAGAAGGAGATGAATACTTAGAGTCATGGCTTTTTTCCTTTAAACTTTTTTTTTTAAATTGAATTGATGCCTTTTGTTTTCATATCAGAGTCATTTTGGGATATATTGATTCCCCACCTCCCACTCCCCAGACCCAACAAGTTTTCCCTCCTAACAAAGTAAAACAGGTAAACAAAACTGACAGATCCATCACATGATCTCAAAATGTATGCAACATTCGGTACCCACAGTCCCCTTCCATCTCTCCCAGAAAAATGAGGTAGGTGCTTTGGCCATGATTTTTAGCCCAATACCCTGACTCCAAATCTAGGGCTCTTTCTGCCACACCACAGATACAAAGAAGCTCTCGGCTGGAATCTTGTATCCTAGTCCGTGGCCCAGCCCACAGCAAAAGCCTGGGAACCTCAGAGTACTGGGGCTGCCGCCCAGCTCAGGAGAAACCGAGATAAGAGCAGAAGGAGTCAAGCGATCCCAGCCTAGGATATTCAGAAACGGCTAGGAGACCACAAGATCACAGGATTTCAGACTGGGAGGAACCTGGGAAATCGTCTGCTCCTCTTTTTTTTTTTTTCTTTGGCAAAGGAACTAAGACCCAGGGGGTTTAAGAGTCTTGCCTAAGGTCCCCCCAGTGGGAAACAGCAGAAATAAGATCTGAACTGGGGTCTCCAGTTTCTAAATCCATTGTTCTTTCTATGCTGTCCCACTGCCTTAAGACACAGGTAGGGGTGGAAGGTGTCTGGGACCTCCAAAATGATAGGTTGAGGAATTTTGGCTGAAGGGAGGGTATGGGAGACAAAGATGGGGATGGAAAGAGTCATGGGGCTACGAACTGGAGGTCATTGGAGGTGGCCAGCGCAAGTAAGATGGAGACAGGAGTCAGGAGGCCCCAGAGGTATCTGGATCACAGTAAATACCATATATATATATATGTGCCCCAAACAGGGAAGAACCCCACAGATGAGTACCTGGAAGGGATGATGAGTGAGGCCCCTGGGCCTATCAATTTTACCATGTTCCTGACCATGTTTGGAGAGAAGCTGAATGGGACAGATCCTGAGGACGTTATTCGAAATGCCTTTGCCTGCTTTGATGAGGAGGCCTCAGGTCAGCTGGATTGCAGTATCTTGGGGACCCAAGGGAGGACCTCACCCATGCCTAATTTCCTGGCGTACCCTGTGGAAACATGGAATTTGGCAGGGGACTGGAGGGGAGAGTTATATGTCCCTTGGACATTTCAGGTCTTCCAGTTCTAAGCTCTTCACAAATGGTCAATCTCAAACTTACCTTGAAACCTGGACATCAAGGAGCTGAATGGGCTGAGGGCTTATCTGGAGGACCTAAAACTACCCAGTGCCTCTTAGTGAACTTAACTCAAAGCACCAAACCTAGGAATAAATTCTCCTATTGCCTTTTTATGGGGGGGGGCAGGATTTCTGGATCTGTAATTTCATTGGTCTGTAGAACAAATTCCTGCCACCAATAGAAGAGATAAACTCATCTGTAACTTAGTCTTAGAGAGTTGTCTGGCAATTCCCATTGCCATGTTCCTAGGTAAGAACCGCACAGACCTCCCCATTGCCTTATTTCTCCCATAGAGAGGACTCACAGATATCTCTGCTTCTTTCTCTCACTCCCTCTCTCTGGTCCCCTGTCCCCAGGAGTCATCCATGAGGACCACCTTCGGGAGCTGCTCACCACCATGGGTGACCGATTCACAGATGAGGAGGTGGATGAGATGTACCGAGAGGCCCCCATCGACAAGAAGGGCAACTTCAACTACGTGGAGTTCACCCGGATCTTGAAGCATGGGGCCAAGGACAAGGATGACTAATCAGCCCACCCTCCCAGTCCTTGTGCCCCCCACAGTCTTGCCACCTCACTCCCAACTTCCATGCTCCTCATGCCCCTTGCATTCCACACAGCTGCCATGTACCAGGAAGGTTGATGAGCTCTTGCCTGGCCCTAGATCTGACACATCTGCAGAGCAGGAAGGCTGAGAGCCCCTGGGCTTTGGGGATGGGTGTCCCTTGGCTCTTGTCAAAGGGAATGGGACCTCAGGCCTCTAGGATGCCTGAAGGGATATTCAGGGGAAGGCGGATCTCTTCCTTGGCAAGTACCAGGCCTGGGCTCCAGGAGACACTTGCTTCATAGCTTATCCACCACACACTACAGTCCAAGGCCCCAAACAAGGGAAGGACCAGTCCAAGTCATCTGGCCAAAGCTGACCACCTGCCCCCTTTTCCATTGGCCTGCAGGGACCAACTTTCCCTCGGCCCCAGTCCCTTGCCACTGCCTCATCTGGTTATTGTGGCCTATTTCATGGTGATACATTCCTTGTTCTTACAGGGGACCCTAAAACATTCCTCCTTCTCTCTTGTGTCCCCTGCACACACCCTGCCCTTTCAGCATCATTCACCTGCCTCACCAAAGGTACACAGAGGAGAGGAGCATGGCACAAACACCCTGTCCAGCTTCCAGACAGGGGTTCAAGTGGGTGTCCAAGGAAGTGTATCTTATTGGGTGTGCACCCATGCATGTTAAAGCAAGTGTGTGGCTTGTGTGAATCCATGTGTATGTGTGATTATATGTTTATGTACGTATACATCTGTGTAATGTAATGTGTTCAGGTGCATGTGTTTCCAAGGCTTAACACTGACTTTAGATTTTGGGAAGAAAGACAAAGAAAGACTGCCCAAAATAGAAGACACTAGCCCAAGCAGACTCAGTTCTTCTCTGTGCAGTGGAGGGGTAAGGAATAGGGAGGGTTGCTCATCTGGGATTTCAAGGTCAGGTACTCGGGGGATGGGGATGGGATTTCTCCAAAGGCCATATCCTGACATCTTTACCATAGCCCTGTCCTCCTCTGTCCCCTCCCCTGCTCTGACAGTCTTCTGGATCCCCTGCCCAAAGACCTGTTGTCCCCCTGAGCTACAACCCCCATTACTCTGGACACTCCTTCCCTTTCTTCTCCATCCTCTGAAAATCAGTTTCTTTTGTCTCTACCTCCCCACTCTAGAAGAAAAAAAAAGAAGCCAGAACTTTGGTTCAAATCTGCTTTAGTATTTGCTGTCTGTGACTTTTTAAGCCAACTCTCATTTCTCTCTTCTGTTTTCTCATCTAGAAAAGGTATTGTACTAAGGCAGCAATCCCAAATTGTGATCTGAGCACCCACCCTTCCCCCCTTGCCCTTTCTTCCCTTCCCCCCCATGGTCAAAACTATTTTCATAATAATATTGGCATTTTACTATCTAATACAGTAAATAGCAATAGATATCACACATAAACAAAAGCTCTTTGAGGTCCTCAATAATTTTTAAGAGTGTAATGGGGCCCTTAGACCAAAAAGTTTGAAAACCACTATATGAGGGGCCTTTCCAAGCCCAACAGAATCCTCTGATCTCTCTTCTGACCCTTTACAATGAGGGAAAAGTCCTTCTGACAACCAGACCATGGATTCTATGATTGTAAGCCTTTAAGAAGAGATCCCCAGTTTGCTTGGTTCTCTCTAAAGTAGGTGAACCTTTTCCAAGTGCCTCCACAGGCCCTGCACTTGGGCTTTTTTCTGCCTTGACATCTCAAGGGAGGAATGACTAGTCCTGGGAAGCTGGTAAGAGCCCTAACTTCCTGATCTGTATCTCCATCTCCCCCAGTGACCCTCTTCCCCTCATTTTTCTGTTTGGAAAGAGCCCTGTGCTGGAAATCAGGACCTGAGTTCAAGTACTGATAATTACTTTCTTTGTGACCTTCCCCACTATGGGCCTTACTATAAAACTGTAAGGGCTAGAAAAGCTTATCTCTGATAGTTACTCTCATGTCCACCACTAGCATCTGTGTTTGCCAGGACAGCAGGGTACAACCAGATTCCCCTCAGGCCTAAGCTATTATATTCAGCAAGTGTCTCATATTCTTCTGACCATGGGAGCAGACAGGCCTAGAATTTCTCAGAGTAGAAAAACAGGCCCAGAGAAGGAAAGGGATTTGCCTACAGTCACACAGCAAGTCAGAGGTAGAGCTAGGAAGCCAGGTCAATCAATCAACAAACATTTACTGAAGACTTATCAGCCTGGCCCTGTGCTAAACCCTGGGATATGAAGACAAAAGTGAGACAGTCCATATCCTCAGAACCCACAGGGGTGGTGGGAATTAGATCTAGAAGGGCTTTGGGAGGTCATCTTCTCCACCGTCCTCCCATTTTACACATGAGGAAACTTGAGGCTTAGGCAATATAATTTACCCAAAGTCACAGAGAAGCAGAATCAAGATTTGAACAAGTTCCTGGTGTTACATACAGTGCTGCCCCAGTCACCCCCCCCACTACTCTTACCTATTTATTCCTTAGTCTGCCTGTGTTTAAAGGGGACTCACTCCCAGACCATCCCAAATGTACTTTAAACACACCAGCAGAGATACAACTAGAAATTTTGGTATGTGGAATAATCATGAAGGTGTGGGCTTACCTGCCCTCAGCTGAAGTTACTGCTGCTAACACCTTAGGAGCAGGGGGGAAGGAAGTCCCCCTGAGATAAAGCAGCTTCGGTTAGGATGGGAAGTACCCTCAGGATAGTACTAAGTGCCTTCCCCATTCCCAGCCTCTGGACAAAGCTCCAGCTGCTTATCTTAGTTACAACAAAGTAGCTGAGGGTGGGAGGTGGGGAACAGGGAGCAGAGAAGGAGGATGGGGGAGGCCTGCTTTGATAGGTCACAGTACCTCGACCCAGTGAAAGACAACCTTGAATTAGCCTCATTCTTAACCCGAGCTTATCAGTGGCAGTGGTGGTCTCTGAGTCTCTGTTTTCTTTTTACTTCGAGGGGATTTTTTTAGGGTTTTTGGTGGGGGTGGGAGGTCATGGATCACTGAGCTGAGAGGCAGGAGTGGACAGAGAGAGCACAGTACTGTACAGTAAAGATAACAGGTGTTTATTTGGAATATGGATTTCTTTCAGAATTCTTTGTTCAAAGGTGAATTTGCATAATGCAAATTTACATAAAGCCAAAACTATCTATCTCCAATGGCATCCTTTCAGATCTTCCCCTAAAGTCATTCTCACTTTGGCTTGGGGAAAGGAGAAGACAGGGTGGATCTTGGAACTGGCTCAGGCCCAGCTAATAATGCCTTTGGGCACCTTAACACTTCCCTTCTGCCTCCTGCCAGTTTCCTCCCTGTCCATCCCTCTGTCCAGCCTGAACCTTGCCCAGCTCTGGCCATCTGCCTTCTTTTCTGCTTACCCTGAGTCTCCCTGTTGACATCTAGACCCCTTTCAGACGTTGACCTCTTCACCCTCTGGAAGTTCTTCCTGAGTGACCCCACCTCACTGTATCCGATTTTCACCTTGGGGCTTGGCTACTAGAATTGTGACCACATAAAATACTCAGGACACACTTGCCTTCAGCAGGTTTAAGGTCACTGGCCAAGCTCTTAACTCTCCCATGGGAGTTTCACCAATACCTGGGCTTTTCCAGATCATTAAGCACCTGGAAAAAGCTAGAAAACAGGTAGAGAAATTCACCCCTGAAATGTAGGGACATCATTGCCTGCAGAGAGACCATCCAGAAATAAATGTCGAAATGGTTTCACTTCCACATGAGGCTTCACCCAAGTCACTGACCCCTTTCTGGACCTCAGAGCTTATAAAATGAAGGGGTTGGACTTGTGTATCCCTTAAAGATTCTTCCAGCTCAAAATACTGTCACTTTTCTAAAATTCATCATAATCACAGGAATAGCTAACATTTCTATAAAATGGGGATATAAAGATGACTTTCAGATCTATACATGAATGGATGTAGCATTTATTAAGCACTTACTATGCGCTAAGCACTATGTAAACATATAGAAAAGTAAGCTGGTCTCTGTTTTCAGGGAACTCACAATCTATGAGGGGACAACACATGTGACATACACAATGCATTAATACATACATAATATGACAATGCACATATCCAGGATTTCTGTCCTGAAATTTTCCAATCCTAAATCATCAACTGCCTATTGGTCAATTTAAACCGGATGTCAGTCAATAAACATTTTTAAGTGCCTACTGAATGCCAGGTAGGGCAGCACCTGTGGTGCACAATGGATAGAGCACAAGGTCTGGAGTCACAAAGATTCCTCTTCATGAGTTCAAATCTGGAGTCACTAGCTATGTGACCCTAGGCAAGTAAGTAAGTCACTTAACTGTTTGCCTCAGTTTCCTCATCCATAAAATGAGCTAGAGAAGGAAAAGGCAAACCACTCCAGTATCCTTGCCAAGAAAACCCCAAGGCGCAACTGAACAACAACAATAAAGTGTGCCAAGCAGTGTGCTAAGTGCTAGGGATACAAAGAAAGGCAAAAAAACAGTCTTGACACTGCATACAAACAAGCTACAGACAGGTTAAATTGGAGATAATCAACAGAAGAAAGTCACTAGAATGAAAGGGGATGCCCATAGGCATCTCAAACTCAACATGTCCAAAACAACTCATCATCTGTCCCTCATCCCCAGCACCCCTGTCTTCTGAACTTCTCAATTCCTTATTCTAGGCACCACCATCTTTCCAGTCCCCCATGTTTACAAGCTGGATGTCATCATCTCCTAACCCACACTCATTCCACATAATCAATCAGTTGCTAACTTTGTCATTTCTATCTTGATGTGTGGCACCTGATTCTATCTCTCCATCAATACAGCCACCCCGGTTCAGGTCTTCATCACCTCTTGCCTCATGCTCATCGTTGGTTTCTGGGCTTCAAGTCTCTTTCTTTCCCATTCTAATACATCTTTCACTCAACTGTCAGAGTGACTTTCCTAAAGCATAGTTAGGTCTTACTATGTCATGCTCACATACATACTCACACTCCTCAAAAAACTCCAATAGCTCCCTATTCTCTCCAGAATCAAATGCGAGCTCTTGTCAGACACAGAAGGCTCTTTCCATCCTGGCCCCTTACCATCCTAAACTTTACTTCCTTACACCCATTCTCTAATTCAGCTCTACTGGCCTATTTGGTTTGTTTTTGTTTTGTTTTGGTTTTTGTTGTTGTTGTTGTTATTGGTTGTTTGTTTTCCTCACAAATTACGTTAATGTTCTATCATCCCAACTCTCTATCTCCTACTTGTGAGCATTTGCCCTGGCTATCTCCCATGCCCCCTCCTCACTTCTTCCTCTTAGAATACCTGGCTTCCTTCAAGACTCAGTTCACATGCTACCTTCTACTACAGGCCTTGCCCAGTCCTCCTCAACTGCTAGTGCTTCCCCCACTAAGGTTACCTTCTGTTTATTCTGTGAGTATCTTGTATTATTTCTACCTATTTAAGTACATTAGAATATGAGATCCTTGAGGGCAGGAGCTAGTTTTCTTTTTTCTTTTTTTTTCCTTGTCTCCAGTGACAAAGTACCTAAGAGTAAAGCCCTTGGTAAATGCTTGTTGATTGATAAGCACATATGAATCAATTATTAAGCACCAGACAATATAAAAAAAGGCAACTATCCCTGTGATTTCTTGGCAAAACACCGAGCCTTGGCCACCAGGCCCAAAAATCTTTTTTCTCTCTAAATTAGATTAGATTGTAAATTCCTTGAGGACAGAGACTCTCCGGATTTTGATGTTGTATCCCCAGGGCTTGGCAAGGTGCCAACACTTAATAAATGCTTTTTGTTCATTCATTCAAAAGACTTCCTTCCATTTCCTTCTCCCCCCTCAAAAAAAACCATACCATGAAAGTGATCTCTCCCTCTTCAAATTTTCTCCTGGTATTTTGGCTCTTTTCCCTAGATCCTATTCAACTTTGTACTAACAGCTATTTGCCCCTTTCCCTCACACTCCCCTCCCCCTCATAACCCTCCTCCCCATTACCAGGCAAGCTTCCCCATGTCTTCATTTTTGTAGAGTAGGGCACATAATAAATGCTTTAATAATGTTGACTGAACTGAATTTCCTAGTCACTGAGGGCATTTCTTGTAAGGATCAGAGAAGTAGAGCTGGCCTTAGAGGCCATCTAGTTCAAATTCTTCATTTTAGAGATGAAAAAGCAAAAGCCCATAGAGGCTAATTAACTTCCCAGAGGTTA